ACCTGTTAAAGATCTGGCTGACAGACATGAGATACTTCCTCCCCAGTCTTATGTTTAAGGTAGTTTACATGTTAAAGATCTTACTAACAGATATGAGATACTTCCTCCCCAGTCTTATGTTTAAGGTAGTTAACCTGTTAAAGATCTGGCTGACAGACATGAGATACTTCCTCCCCAGTCTTATGTTTAAGGTAGTTTACATGTTAAAGATCTTACTAACAGATATGAGATACTTCCTCCCCAGTCTTATGTTTAAGGTAGTTAACCTGTTAAAGATCTGGCTGACAGACATGAGATACTTCCTCCCCAGTCTTATGTTTAAGGTAGTTTACATGTTAAAGATCTTACTAACAGATATGAGATACTTCCTCCCCAGTCTTATGTTTAAGGTAGTTAACCTGTTAAAGATCTGGCTGACAGACATGAGATACTTCCTCCCCAGTCTTATGTTTAAGGTAGTTTACATGTTAAAGATCTTACTAACAGATATGAGATACTTCCTCCCCAGTCTTATGTTTAAGGTAGTTAACCTGTTAAAGATCTGGCTGACAGACATGAGATACTTCCTCCCCAGTCTTATGTTTAAGGTAGTTTACATGTTAAAGATCTTACTAACAGATATGAGATACTTCCTCCCCAGTCTTATGTTTAAGGTAGTTAACCTGTTAAAGATCTTGTAAACAGATATGAGATACTTCTTCCCTAGTCTTATGTTTAAGGTAGCTTACCTGTTAAAGATCTTGCTTACAGATATGAGATATTCCCTCCCTAGCCTTATGTATAAGGTAGCTTACCTGTTAAGGATCTTGCTTACAGATATGAGATACTTCCTCCCTAGTCTTATGTATAAGGAAGCTTACCTGTTAAAGATCTTACTAACAGATATGAGATACTTCCTCCCCAGTTTTATGTATAAGGAAGCTTACCTGTTAAAGATCTTGCTTACAGACATGAGATCTTCACCCCAGTCTTATGTATAAGGAAGCTTACCTGTTAAAGATCTTGCTTACAGATATGAGATACTTCCTCCCCAGTCTTATGTATAAGGAAACTTACCTGTTCAGGATCTTGCTGACACAGCCATGCGAGACCTGTAGTTGGCGACTGATCTCACAAGGCCTGATGCCCTGTAGAGCCAGCTGAAGGATCTGTACCCTCAAGTGGTCTGGCAGGGGACGTCCGTTGGTGAATTCTCGTCCATATTGGTTTATGTTGCGACCTCCGACTGAAATGGAAAGGAACTGTGGAGTAGTGTATGCCAAAATTTCAAGATCAAACAAAGTTAATACAAGTTTCAGTCTTGTCACCAGGAAAGTTTCAATCACTATGACGGAGAACGTTAAAGGTCTGCTTATAGATTAAATTGCTACTGTCACTCTTCAGGTAAAACGCATATTGTCTGCATATAGATATATCCACCACAGTCAATCTTTCATTGGTCTCCCTAGAGATTAAAGGCCCAATGTCAATCTTCAGGTAAAAGATCTATTATAAAACTGTCAATCTCCAGGTAAAAGTGTGTATATTGTGTATTCGTAATTAAAGATCCAAGGTCAAACTTTAGGTCAAAGGTTAAAGGTATGTCTATAAATATACATATACGGTATATGGTATACTATACTGTTTACATATATAGGGTTTAATGTCCTAAGGTCATTTAAGGATTACAACCTTCTGGTAAAATGTTCCACAAATGCTCAACAATAAGTACAGAGAGTTATAATTTAGGAACAAGTTCCCATGTCTGCCCATCGAAACATGTATCAAATTAACACTAACAAACATAAAGGTCAATATCTATGATATTACATATAGATAAATATTTCCTTTTTACCTACAAGTAAAATGTTTCATGTCTTTGAAACTACAGAAACTGGACAAAACTTTGCATGAATAAATATTTCAATTGAATGTCAACCTAAGGTAGAAAGTTTTAAGGTCACCCTGCTGTAATAAATTCCAATGTCAAATATCTGGTAAAACGAACCACATCAGCCTGCAGATAAATATTTCAGGTAAACAGTCAAGGTCTGTCTATAGGTACATCAGCCTGCAGATAAAATATTTCAGGTAAACAGTCAAGGTCTGTTTATAGGTACATCTCTAAGATAAAAGATTGCAGGTAAACAGTCAAGGTCTGTCTATAGGTACATAAGCCTGCAGATAAAATATTTCAGGTAAACAGTCAAGGTCTGTCTATAGATACATCAGCCTGCAGATAAAAGATTTCAGGTCAACAGTCAAGGTCTGTCTATAGGTACATCAGCCTGCAGATAAAATATTTCAGGTAAACAGTCCAGGTCTGTCTATAGGTACATCTCTAAGATAAAATATTTCAGGTAAACAGTCAAGGTCTGTCTATAGATACATCAGCCTGCAGATAAAAGATTTCAGGTAAACAGTCAAGGTCTGTCTATAGGTACATCTCTAAGATAATATATTTCAGGTAAACAGTCAAGGTCTGTCTATAGAAACATCTTTAAGATAAAAGATTTCAGGTAAACAGTCAAGGTCTGTCTATAGGTACATCTCTAAGATAAAAGATTTCAGGTAAACAGTCAAGGTCTGTCTATAGGTACATCAGCCTGCAGATAAAATATTTCAGGTAAACAGTCAAGGTCTGTCTATAGGTACTCAGGTAAACAGTCAAGGTCTGTCTATAGGTACATCTCTAAGATAAAATATTTCAGGTAAACAGTCAAGGCGTGTCTATAGGGACATCAGCCTGCAGATAAAATATTTCAGGTAAACAGTCAAGGACTGTCTATAGGTACTCAGGTAAACAGTAAAGGTCTGTCTATAGGTACTCAGGTAACCAGTCAAGGTCTGTCTATAGGTACATCTCTGAGATAAAAGATTTCAGGTAAACAGTCAAGGTCTGTCTATAGGTACATCTCTGAGATAAAAGATTTCAGGTAAACAGTCAAGGTGTGTCTATAGGTACATCAGCCTGCAGATAAAAGATTTCAGGTTAACAGTCAAGGTCTGTTTATAGGTACATCTCTAAGATATAAGATTTGAGGTAAACAGTCAAGGTCTGTCTATAGGTACATCAGCCTGCAGATAAAATATTTCAGGTAAACAGTAAAGGTCTGTCTATAGGTACTCAGGTAAACAGTCAAGGTCTGTCTATAGGAACATCTCTAAGATAAAATATTTCAGGTAAACAGTCAAGGACTGTCTATAGGTACATCAGCCTGCAGATAAAATATTTCAGGTAAACAGTCAAGGACTGTCTATAGGTACATCAGCCTGCAGATAAAAGATTTCAGGTTAACAGTCAAGGTCTGTTTATAGGTACATCTCTAAGATATAAGATTTCAGGTAAACAGTCAAGGTCTGTTTATAGGTACATCTCTAAGATCAAAGTCTGCTTTTACACAAAGTTTCAGGAGTAAAATTTCGGGGAAAGGTTGCCTATATATCATTGATCAATATTAAGGCGAAGATTGATAGAATAGAATATATTCATGCATAACTTCAGGAAAAAGACTGCCTATATATAGCATTCAAAGATTAAACCTCAGGTACAACATATCCCCAAGATAAAGCTTCAGGTGAAAGGTTGAATGTCTGTCTATAGATCAAGATAAACACTCCTAAGATAAAGTTTCAGGTAAAAGATTGAATGTCTGTCTACAGATCAAGATAAACAGATAAAGATTCCAAGATAAACTTAAGGTGAAAGGTTGAACATCTGTCTATAGATAAACATTTGAATATTAAAACATCAGGTAAAACATTCAATGTTTCCTATACAGTAGATTTTCAGTTAAAAAATGCAAAGCGAACATTTACCTAGATTTTAGGTCTGCCGATAGGTACAAGTTCAATGTCTGCTAATTGATTCAAATTCTGACATGACGATCTGAATAAAATATTTTTAATCTAAACGACAATGGATGTCATAGGTGCGAATTTAAACAATATGTAGTAGCTATACAGGTCATAAAAGTAAATACGTTTCCTTCTTTTAATCCAAATTTCTATGTTAAGACATTGTACATCATCTTCCTATAGTGGAACAGTTTTGGCTATCATTGTTGTACATATGATAAAGATTTCTAAAAATATTTTAATTCAAAGTTTTAGAAATGGACATTGAGAGCAGTTGGCTTCATGCTTAATAATAAATGTAAGATAACAGGTTATACAATTGATGAATTCTGATCTATCAATCAGAAACAATTACTAATCCAGTACTATTGACAAATGAGAAGCCCCTGTTCTTCTTCCCCCGACAGAAAACGCTCCGATTACACTTCCTAGTATCATTTTCTCATTACAAAATGGCAATCCTAAATATCATGTGTTCAATAATTCATATGTGCCAAACCAGGCAGTTCTTTTAGCTTTAGGCCAGTGGGTAGAAGTCTGGCACTAATGAATTAAAATATGGCTGGTACCTGGCCTGTCTTGTCACACCATAGCCGTATATTGATATACACAACGTGCTATAGTCAGCGACATCCGTCATGCAAACTTAAACAGTTTGTGTTCAGAAAAAGTGATACTCTGTCTCATTTGTCTGTGTGATCGAAATGTTTGTCCTGTCAAAAATGGTCAATAACATATGCGATTCAGATATACTTCTTTAGCTGATAATATTGTGTCAATACGGATAGCAGGTCGAATAAAAGGTACCTCATGGGCTCACGCCACGATTAGCAATGTCTACAGAAAAGCAGGATCAATTTGTGTTTTCAACAGAATTCCGTGACTGGTGCCTTGAACCAGGGTACTTTTAGGTTAACCTGTGACTGTTTACCTAGGGGAGATAACTCTTTAAAATTTTGGAGAGATAAATGTGAAAGGAAGAATAGACTGGGCAGGTAACTATGAAAGTAAGGTAAGATAACTAAATCAGTCTGTAACTGTAGAAGAAAGGGGCAGATAACCAAGTAAATATCAAATGTCAGACAGTGGCTATAGACAAACCTGTATATGTAAAACCAAGGGCAGATAACTGTGTAAAGCCAAAGCAAATTTCAAAGTCAGACTACCTATATATAAAGATTAATGTCAGTAAAACCAAGGGCAGATAACTAAGCAAAGTCAAAGCAAATTTCAAACTCAGACAGTACCTAAATAAAGAAATATGTCAGTAAAAACAAGGGAAGACAACTGTGTATAGCTAGAGACAGTTTCCTGTGAAGCTAGGAGCTGAGGAGATAACAAAATCAGACTGTTCAAATATACAGACCTGTGTCAGTAAAACCACGGGCAGAAACCTGTAAAACTACGGCCAGACAACAAAAGCCAACTGTACCTATACACAGACCTGTGTCAGTAAAACCACGGGCAGAAACCTGTAAAACTACGGGCAGACAACAAAAGCCGACTGTACCTATACACAGACCTGTGTCAGAAAAACCAGGGGCAGATAACTGTGTAAAGCTCAGGGCATATACCTGTGAAGCTTGGGGCAGATAATAAAAGCAGACTGTACCTATAGACAGACCTGTGTGTCTTATCCGTCCGTCCACCTTCTTAGGCTTTCCATTTTCATCCAACTCTTCCTCTATAAACATACTGTCATCAAACTCCATGGCGTCCACGTCTGATCCAATTTCTGCACTCAGCCCTTCCACTGTCCGCTTTTGTCCGTCCTTCACCATCGTGATGCCTGGCGACACCTGCTGGTGGGCAACAGGTGCCTCTACAGTTGTCTCCCCTTCCTTACCACCCTTGCCATCAAGGGCAGTAAGGAGACTCTGATGATGCTGCTGCAGGGCGGCTTGGCCCTGAAACATGGACTGCTGAAACTGAATCAGATTGACCAAGTACTGCTGTTGGATGAGTCTCTGTAACTGTTCAGCGTTTACATCAGTCACCTGGCTACCCTGAACCATGGCAACTGTGGGCACAACAACTTTATCGGCCTCGGTGACCTTAGTTCCATTCTTTTGGTCACCCTCACCATTTACGGCCACTTCAACAGCGTTACCACGATTGCTCTCATCCGTGACCTTTGACCCTATGTCAAGGGCAGTGGTGGACTTTGACTGGTCAGTCTTGTCAGCACCACTGTCCATGATTTCCTTCTTGACCTGGACAGATAGGACCTGAGCGGTCATTGTGGGTACATGAGACAGCCACAGTGAAGCCTGGACTAAACAAGTTAGACGACAGCCACCATTAAGCCTGGACCACCGCAGTTTAGGCTGTCACTCCGTCTAGTTACAGCTGTCTACAAAACAATCAAAACAAAAATCCTTCAGACTCATTCTAAAATTTTATACCCAGTAATAACTTTTAATATAAAACCCTTCAGTAAAATATGTTCAGGGGGACCAATTATTTTATATTAATTGTTAATTACAACATTTTTTATTTGAAATATGAAGGATTGAAGGGCATTTTCAATTATTTGTAAATAACATTACAATGATTCCTGAACCTGTAAAACATCATCTGAATGGCTGCTTCTTCAGATGGAGATGTGTTAAAATGACATTGATCACATGGCATTCATTGCCCAATGAATACAATTTTTTTTGGTATTCCTTATAGGGGATGGCATATTGACGCTTTTAATATATATATATATGAGGCAAATAAAATTTGGTATTCCTTAGAGGGGATGGCATATTGACGCTTTTAATATATATATATATGAGGCAAATAAAATAAGAGTCGACAATTTTTGAAGGAGTTTGTAGTGAAGACATCTACATATAAACCATTGAACTTAAAATACATCTTATTTTATGGAAATTTAGATAGATCTTTAGCTTTTTATTTTCTGTATGATTCTTTTGGAATATTGTGTTGTCATAGATTTGGAACTACAAATTTACTTTGATTACCTTGATAACAAGCAAAATCTCTAACAAAATATGACAGATACTCGACAATGAAAAAGTATATGTCAATAAAGGATTCTGCGTTCATTCACTATAAAATAAATTAAATAACTAACCCTCATCACACATTTCCCACAGAGCAAATCAGAAGCTGTCAGTACCTGTAACTTACAGATATTTAACTAATTTACCCCCAAAGACACATTTGAACACTTCCAATTCAAAGGTTGGAATAGTTCAGTATAAAATTTCAGGGGTGAATGAGTTAATACTGCTGACAATTGTTTCATAAGGTTAGGTACAGTAGACTGTCCTGTACTGTTAGTGTGTCAATCTTCAGATGTTAACAAGCAAATTCATGGAAATTATATCCCCCGCTTGCAGGACATAGTGTAGGTAAACATTATTGAGGTTAGGTTTAAACATGTGAGTATGGTGCTTTTGAGACATAATGTATAGCTTGAAACTTGAAGGAAAAAAAACAACTTATACAGTAGTTAGACTTTTCATTGAATATGTAGGTATTACGGTGTAAGTTAATCGTTTAATCCATCAGAATTAATAACCTCATTAATTCTACGTAAATATGCACAAATCACATCGGTTGGCAAACTAAGCATGAGACGGTTATCGATGTGCATACGGAATTTGTTTGAAATATCTGCACAATATCTACAGCAATTATCACACGAAAACCAAAGAGTGCCCAAGATGGGTGGAAAGACAGAGGAACACAAACATTGATATCAAGTTTGAAGGAAATTGGCTAATATTTGCTTGAGTTATGAAGCGGAAACTGCAGATAATGACATTTTCCGTTAATCAAGGGGCCATAACTCTGCCAAATGGAGTCCGATTAAAGTGGTTGTCAACCTTGGCTGAGCCTTCAATGTGTTGAATACCGTTACTAAGTTTGAAAACAATCAGATAATATTTGCGAGAGTTAATGAACAGAAACAGCAGATAATGACATTTTTCATTATTCAAGGGACCATAACTCCGCCAAATAAAGTCTGCTGAAAGTGGTCGTTGAGCTTGGGCTCGAAGTTGTCATTGGGCTTGGCTGAGCCCTGAAGACACTTAGCCCTTGTACCAAGTAAGAAGAAAATCGGCTGACATTTGTTAGTTATTGCACGGAAACGGCAGATAATGACATTTTTTAGTTATTCAAGGGGCCATAACTCCGCAAAATAAAGTCCGCTGAAAGTGGTCATCAAACTTGGCTGAGCCCTTAAGGCATTTAACCCTGGAACCAAGTTGAAAGAAAATCGGTTAACATTTGTTGCAGTTATTGCACGGAAACAAAGCATGACAGACAGATGGACCAACCCAAATTAATATCCCCCGTTTCGGTGAAAGCGGGGGATAATTCATTAGAGCTTTGTTGAAGCAAGGTCAAGACCGTTTTTGTACAAGTAATAGATATAGTAGATTGTAAAGATCCAGTATGTATCATATATATATCAGTATGCATGTACAGTGCATATTGTCCCTTATAAACAGGTATAATCTTATGTACATTGTGTACTTGTTTCTTATAGGTAAGAAACCATAAACCCCTTAACTCATTCCCCCTTGAAATTTCATAATGAACTATTCAAACCTTTGAATTGGAAGAGTTCAAATGTGTCTTCAGGGGTGAATGAGTTAATACACATCTAGTGTATGTCACATATAGGGTTATGTATGTATCTTGTTTCTTATAGACAGGTAACCATACATCCCATAGTTCATGCATCAAGCACATGTCAAATAGGCTTATATACCCTGTAATATGGTCCTTATAGACAGGGAGCCATGCTGCAGTATACATCTGTACAAACTATACTGTTTTTTATAGGCAGGAAACCAAAAACCCATACTTCGTACACTCATAGCATATCACACTTGTATAAACCCTGTATTTTGTTCCTTACAGATAGGTGAATAAGAGGTAATTATTAAGTCTGTATATTATTTCTTATACACAGGTAAAAAAGCATTCAATACTGCACATATTATAACGTATTTACAGTGTGTAATGTTTCTTTGGACAGGTAATTATAATCCTCTACTTTATATAGCTCTGGTATGTCACAGGAGTAATGTGTATTTCCTGTATGGTGTTCCTTATAGACAGGTAATCCTCTACTTCATACACACCCAGTATGTATGACATCTTCCCTATAGACAGGTAATCATCTACTTCATACACACCCCGTATGTATGACATTCAGTGATATAGACACTGTGTGTTCTTCCCTATAGACAGGTAATTATCTACTTCATACACACCCAGTATGTATGACATCTTCCCCATAGACAGGTAATCCTCTACTTCATACACACCCAGTATATAGCACATCCAGTGATATATAGACACTGTGTGTTCTTTACACCCAGTATGTACTAGTCATATATGGACACTGTGTGTTGTTCCTTATAGACAGGATATCCCCTACTTCATACACATCCAGTACATGTAACAGTCATTCATGTATAGTGTTGTTTCTTATAGGCAGGTAATCTACCTTAATACACACCCAGTACCTTTAACATAATTATATGTGTACATTATGTCGCTCCTTATAGACAGGTAACCATACACCCATACTTATACACACCCAGGATGTATGACATACAGTGATATATGTACACTGTGTGTCACTCCTTATAGACAGGTAACCATACATCCCATACTTATACACACCCAGTATGTATGACAAGGTAACCATACATCCTCTACGTATACACACCCAGTATGTATTACATACAGTGATATATGTACACAGTGTGTCGCTCCTTATAGACAGGTAACCATACACCCATACTTATACACACCCAGGATGTATGACATATAGTGATATATGTACACTGTGTGTCACTCCTTATAGACAGGTAACCATACATCCCATACTTATACACACCCAGTATGTATGACATAGTGATATATGTACACTGTGTGTCGCTCCTTATAGACAGGTAACCATACATCCCATACTTATACACACCCAGTATGTATGACACCTCCAGTACATGTTACATATAAGATACGGTACATACCGTGTTAACACTGAAGTAGGCCAATCAGTGTACAAGTAAAAATTGTACCATGTGTTGTGATCTATTATAAATAGAGTTAAAGTCGTTGTATGGCCTCCGTGAGCTGAACCTAAACACAGGACACACAATATAATAACACAACTAACACAGCAAACTTCAGGCCTCGCTAATCAGCTCCTGCTGACCACTCAGCCGTATCTTCCTGGTGACCACATGATCCAGCTTGACCATCAGCAGCCCTGAATAGTGGTCAGTTTCCGAAGGTATCACACTGAGACAGTAATTCCAGTCTGGCCAGGTTTAACATCGGTTGACACCGTTAACAAATCTTCCACACAGTGATACATACCGTGTTAATCATTAAAGCTTTCTTTCCAAATGGAGCTATTTCCTGTCTACCCTAGCCCACGTCATGGTTGAGTGAAGGCTAATATTGCATGTACAATCTATTATTTGACTAAATTGTTTGTATGAAATGGCCTTTGGGTTTAAACCAATGAGCTTTGTGTGTGGGTATAATGGACGACTAAGCCTCATGAAGCGGGTGGGTGCCAATCCATACATGTTCCACGGAGCGTAGCCGAGTGACAAGAACGATTAACAGCTTTTCAGAGTCGAATAGCTGTTTGATATTCATCTAACGTATATCAAACATTGATTGTATTCATATCTCTCCTGGTCACACTCTATCTAACACACTCTCTAGGTATTCCAGTATTACCTTTCTCACCTGAGTGCCACAGTACACACCTTGTTGGCCACAGGACTGTCAACATTATGTAATTTCATCTTTATTACAGGTATGTACTACTGTGTTAAAATATACCAACACCAGATAAATGTCAACAAAGATTATCATCTGACATACATATTATTTTGTATTACTTTTTTAATCATAGCATCAGGGTCGTAAACTCCCTCTAATGAAATATTTATACTAAAAACTATCAAACTTCATGGCTTTATAACACACTCCCTTTTTAAGGTCTATTAAATGAATCAACTCTTCTTTGTTAATAGGCATGTTGCACTCCTATTGCCATCTGAGCAGACAAATTCTATACTTGATAAAAAANAAAAAAAAAAAAAAAAAAAAAAAACCCCCCCCCCCCCCCCCCAAAACAAAAGGGGGCATCCTTTACAATTATTAAATAATTGCATTCTCCTTCACTTCAACCCTCTACTAGACTGGACCAGAAAAGGAAGAATAGGCTGTGTGTTCCTACACGTATATCCCTCTACTAGACTGGACCAGACAAGGAAGAATAGGCTGTGTGTTCCTATACTTATATCCCTCTACTAGACTGGACCAGAAAAGGAAGAATAGACTGTGTGTCTTTAC